GGAATAGAAAATAAACCAACGATATAACGAAAGAAAAAAAAATAATAATAATAATAATCATTTTCTTCTTGTACTTTTCCGCTTTCCTTCGTTTGTGCCGAAGGAAAATTCTACGAACAATGGTTGACCGTTAAAAAAAAAAAAGGAAAATGATAGGTCGGGCTATTTGCCAGATACTACCAACCACTCAGGCGTTAATGATGCTTTTACGGTTAAACAAAATTTTAACGGATAAATAATATTTAAGACTTGTATAAACCTTGGTGGTAAATATTTTATGTTAAGTCTAATTACACGTTTATTTTTACGTAAATTAAAATAATAATAATAATGATAATAATGATGATAATAATGATCATAAAATAAATTTTAATAAATTTTCAAACAACGCGTTGCGTTAAATGAAAACAAAAAAATTATTATTATTATTGTTTTGAAATTCGTCATTTTTGTTTAAGTATTAGAAAAAAAAAATGACCGTTATTTTTTTTTCTAGAAATTATGAAACGTTAAATTATTTACCGCCGTGAAAACGAATTAAAAATTAATTTGAAAAAAAAAAAAAAAATTTTCCCATGAATATAAATTTTTTCTTTCTGTTCGGTTTTTATTTTCACGTTAATTTTCTCTTTCTTTCTTTCTTTCTTTCTTTTTATTCGAATCGTAATAGTACCCTACTAAAAAAAAATTTTATTATTTCTAAGAAAGAAAAAAATGGAAAGTTCGAGAACTTAACGAAAAGAAGAAGTGTAAATAGCAAAAAAAAAAAAAAAAAAAAAACAGCGTGAAAAAATTATCATTTTTTTTTTTTTTGTAACATTAACTCTCCATTCAACTTTTCCATTTGTAAAATAATAATAATAATTATTATTATTATTATTTAGTTTTTAAAAAAAACGGGGTGGAAGGTAAATGGGGAGGATTTTGGGGGTCAAGGGAATGAAAACAACGATGACGACATCATTATTATTCTCATTACATTATACCACGAATTGTGTAATTCGTTCCATCACGACGCGGATAAAAGTTTCCTGAACGTTTTCCCCCCTCCTCCCCTTTCTTCTCCCTTTCCTTCGCGATTTATTGTTTCAAATGATTTGAAACTTTCAATTTGTTTTAAAACAAAACGATAAAAACCAAAAGGCAATTTTTAGCGTCGTGAAAAATCTCTATAGCTCTTACAAAAGTCAACGAACGAACGGAAACTTTTTAAAATAATAAATCTCCGTATAAAATTTATTTATTTATTTATTTATCTTTTGTTGTTATTATTTTAAAAAAAAAAAAAAAAGATGACGGTGATGGTGATAATAATAATAATGATAATAATAATTTGTTTTAAGCAAAATTAAATTACGTGGTAGTTTGTATAATTACCTCGTAATTTTTTTTTTTTTCTCAAAGTGTTAACAATGAAGTAATTAGCGAGCGATAAATAATGCCCGTGTAAATAAATATTCACTTATTATTATTATTATTTCCACCCCTCTCCGAAAGAATAAAAAAAGTTTGAAATGTAAATTATCGTGATTATGTGGGTGTCAAAGGGGATGGAGGGAGGGAAGCCCGGGAAGGGGAGCAACGAAAAAAAAAAAAGTTTTTCATTTTTTTTTTTTTTTTTGGGTTGTTGAAAAAACATTAAATCCTAAACTACCGGCCATTAGTTTATTATTATTATTATTATCATCATAGGGTTAAACTACGAGTTTCAGGTACTTTCGAAAACGGTCCAAAAAAAAAAAAAAATTTTTTTAATGGTTGAAAGAAGGGTTATTTGAAAATTATTGTCAATTGTTTCTCTCTCTCTCTTTGCCTCCCTTAATGAGGACACACAATAAAAATGTCCCATTAATAAACTTTTTTTAATCTTGAGCTTAATGCGTTATCTTAATTGTCAGTTCATGTTTGTGTGCGTGCATGTGTGTGTGTGTGTGTGTGTGTGTGTGTGTGTAAGAGAAAGAGAGAAAGAGAGAGAGAGAGAGAGATAGAGAAAGAAAAAAAAAAGAGAGAAGAAAATTAGTGCGGGCGGAGAAGATTATTCACATAAATTTTGTCATTGAAACTAATTATAAGTAATAAAACTAAATTTAAACAATTTAGATATATTAATTTAATAACAATAATAATAATAATAGTGATAATAATGATGATGATAATACTACCGTAAATTCGTTCTTCACATCTTCTTATAATATCGTATTTGAAACGTTTTATCGACCAAAAAAAAAAAAAAAATTTGAATTTAAACGTTAAAATAACTATTATCGATTCATTTATCACTACTATTATTATTCAAAATGGCGGCGAACACATTAATAATAATAATAATTGATATTTTAAAACAAAAAACGAGTAACTACATGTAGATAAATTTTTTTTTTTCGTCCACGTAAATATGTTGAAATCGTGGTTGTTTAAAAACGAAGAAGAAGGTTATTTATTTTATTCTTTTGCTTTTACACACGACCTTCGACCTCTACCCCTTTCCTCTCCTCCCTTCCCTCCCTCCCTCTTTTTTTCTATTATTTTTCCCGTTTGGGCTTTCACCGAAAAATTTCGATTTTAGAATGTTGAAATTTTTTTTTTTTTTTTTTTTTCCGAAACTAGAAAAAGTCGTAAAATACACCTGCGACTTTTTAAGGCAAAACATTCGTATATCGCTTAAAATCAATAACCCTGATGTATGTGGAAAACCGACTCTTCTATCTGCATACAAAAAACCATTAAAAACCTTTTTTTAACCAATTTTTTTTTTTTTTTTTTTGGGCCCGTTTTGATATTAATGTAAAATCGGATGAGAGAAAGACTGAGAGGAAGTAAAAAAAAAAAAAAAAAAAAAA